TTAATGTCAACTGCATTAACTATTGCCCTCCAAGAGATGGAATTTCGATACACTGAGCATGGCAATGTCGGAGCACTTTTCAGGGGAAAATATTCCATCCTGTTTATGAGGTCACATTATCTCCGAACCATTTATAACTATCACAGTCACGGCGTCCAGATAATTTACCTTGATGAATCATGCCACTGACTACATGTGGAAAAGCACCCATGGTACCATCAGATAAAGGTAATCGTGTCATTGTTTTACACGCTGCAACCCATGATATGGGACTTATTGATGGATGTGTGCTAGTTTTCGAGGCGAAAAAGAAAACTGATGAATTTCATGAGGAAATTATAGGAGGTGATTTGTTCATAGAATGGTTGGAATTTCAGCTATTCCCCATTTTAAACAACGCCAGTGTCATTGTCATGGGTAACGACAGTTAATATAACGTCTGGGAATCAGATACTGTCGCCCAAACCATGAGTAGACTGAAGGCGACCATACAGGAATATATGACATCGTCGGTTTCAGACCATATCAAACGAAAGTTCAACTCATGTAGAAAAAATCGGCGGAATAAGAACACGACATATGTGCTGGCGGCACAACACGGTTACGTTGTGTTACGTACGCCAGTCAGACATTGTGAGTTCAACCCTCTTGTGCCCATTTTGGCCAAGTGTAAAGAGTTCGTGGCAAGACATAACACGACATTCAAAAGTACAGATTCATATACGTCATCAGCGGAGATAAATGCTACCTCAAGAAATCATCTGTAGAACAACAAATACTTCTGGATTCCAAAACCGCAACCTTCCAATACGCATCCCGTTTCGTAGCTCTTAACTATTCCATCATGAGGTCATTTGTTTCCAAGCAAATTTAATGCAATATATATCCTAAATTGCTACCCTACCTACGCACATGTCAATTAAGTACAATAACAGCAATATTTTGAGACCACCCCCAACTCGGTGACATGTGCACCTGGGAGAATGCACGGGACGGTGTGAGGTCATCACCTGGGGACAGGTGTTAGGTAATTATCTCAGGTTATAGGCCATTTCATACATGCATGACAACACACGAATATTTTCTAAGTTTATCATCATTTTACCTGTAAAAGTACATTTTGAGCGTAATCACAGTGCCAGTTAGGACAGGTTAGATTAGGGCAATTCGCGATATTTTAATATATGCTCTTTTTATAGTCCTTTGACTCGTATTTATTAAATGAAGCCAAAAAAGCAGTTTTCTAGCATTTCCAACAGAACTCAGCCACCGAATGGCCACGTCTTAGAGATACGACAAGCGCTTCTAGCAATGTTGATTTAGATACTCTTTCTTTTAGTTTTTTTCACGCCGCACTCGACAATATTCTAAATATATGACGACGGCGTGTAATTGCCGAGGCTGGACCAGACAAATCGGTATTTGGTATTATGATCAACGTCCCTCGCAGACATGATACGATGACGTGGTAGCATCGGGCCTGACACCCCGATGCACTGAGTCGCCTCTCCAATGTTGCTGGGGACGAGACCCCAACAAGACGATACTCGGGTCTAATAGTTCTACAACAGGAATATCGGAATAACGATGGGTACATGCGTAGAATAAATCCCCAGATACTTCTTGTACACATCCTACGTGACCCACTACATAGTTTGGGATTCAACATTTTCTTCTATCTAAACATGGAGTCCTTACCTAACATGCTGTGTTAAATCTGCTGTGAATTAATTAAGGTACTCCATCTGCACCACTCCCTTTGCAAGACTTTATATAAGAGATAACACTTCTAGTGGAAGATCCCGCTTGAACACTTCAACAGGTAATGTATGAAAGTAGTGAGAAAACCTTTCATGTTAACTCGATGCTTGCATACCTACAACTATTGTACTGTTAATACAACCTTTTTCTGGTTCTCGTATATACCCAGACCCTGTCACCTCCCCTAACACTTGCTAATTCTTGTACATACCCAGACCCATCCACCTCTTCTAACACAACGTTTACGGTCAACACTTGCTAGTTCTTGTACATACCCAGACCCCGCCACCTCTGCTAACACCACGTTTACGGTCAACACTTGATAGTTCTTGTACATACCCAGACCCCGCCACCTCTTCTAACACCACGTTTACGGTCAACACTTGCTAGTTCTTGTACATACCCAGACCCCGCCACCTCTTCTAATCAACGTTTACGGTCAACACTTGCTAGTTCTTGTACATACCCAGACCCATCCACCTCTTCTCACACCACGTTTACGGTCAACACTTGCTAGTTCTTGTGTATACCCAGACCCTGTCATCCCCTTTTTTACCACACTTGCATACAACCACTGCAGACATTTTACTATGACACTCATGTTCACGGCGGTCACAGTTCTGTGGGTGTACAATGAGAAGAGTGATAGACTGATGTTCCTCACCTGTTTCAGCAACCATGATAGCCCTCCTCCTTCTACTCGGAACTGCGTCGGTATATGGGTGAGTGTTATGTGGTACAATGTGCAACATCTCAATAGTTCTATCAGGCAATGTGTCTGTATATGGGTGAGTGATGTGTGGTACAATGTGCAACATCATAACACTACTATCAGGAAATGTGTCTGTATATGGGTGGGTGATGTGTTGTACAATGTGCAACATCTCAACAGTTCTAGTCTTCAATATGTCTGTATATTGGTGAGTGATGTGTGGTACAATGTGCAACATCTCAAAAGTTCTAGTCTCCAATGTGTCTGTATATTGGTGAGTGATGTGTGGTACAATGTGCAACATCTCAAAAGTTCTAGTCCCCAATGTGTCGGTATATGGGTGGGTGATGTGTAGTACAATGTGCAACATCTCAAAAGTTCTAGTCTCCAATGTGTCTGTATATGGGTGGGTGATGTGTGGTACAATGTGCAACATCTGACTAGTTCTATCAGGCAATGTGTCTGTATATGGGTGAGTTATGTGTGGTACAATGTGCCACATCTAAACAGTTCTATCAGGCAATATGTCTGTATATTGGTGAGTGATGTGTTGTACAATGTGCAACATCTCAAAAGTTCTATCAGGCAATGTGTCTCCAGGTCTTGGGTAAGTAATCCCTCCAATAACATCGTCACAATAGCTTCTCCAGTTCTTGGGTAGTTAGTTCCATCCCCGTCACAAACACAGTCTTAAGGATTTAGATAGGTACTTTCCCACGATCTTTTTTAGCGGCCTAAAAAAACACCAATTTTAGTTGAACCTTTGTTTCCATTGATTATTTCTGAGAAGAACTGCAAAATTGTTGATGTGGCCTAAAACAACATTCACTCACCCAAGAGATAGGGACTCATCTTCAGTTCCGTACACAGTTTCAAAGATGTAAAATAAATAAATAAATTGAACGACAATTTGTGGTCATGCATTATTTTACATTCTGCTTTTCTGTCATGCTGACATGTTTGTTTGTTTGTTTGTTTGTTTGTTGTTTAACGCCGCTCTCAGCAATATTCCAGCTATATGACGGCGGTCTGTAAATAATGGAATCTGGACCAGACAATCCAGTGATTAATATCATGAGCATCGATCATCGACGCACTTAGGATCGATGACATGTATCAACCATATCAGCGAGCCTGACCACCCGATCCCGTTAGTCGCCTCTTACGACAAGCATAGTCGCCTTTTAGAGCAAAAATGGGTTGCTGAAGACCTATTCTATCCCGGATCTTCACGGGTCTCATGCTGACATGTATTTGTAGGGAAGATGAGGACATGAATGAGATAAGTGAAGAAACCGGCCTCCCCCTCTGAGCCACGAGGAACTGAAGCACATGGTGATGAGGCGCATCAATAGGTCAACCGGAAAAGCGGAGTCAATCAACCCCAATCCAGTCAAGGACGCCAATACCCAGAGGTCCCCTCGGATACCAAAGTTCGAGGTCATTCAGCCAAAATAACTTGCTTGCATGACAGACCATTAGTGTGAATACATGTGTATTATATATATAAAACTTTAAATTCAACTATTTGATTTGATAACCGTTATAAGGTGGTATGTGGTTATGTATTATTTCTAATAATTTACAGTTTTATCAACAATTTGTTTGTAATTTTTAATTGTTTGCTATTATATGTAGGTACACCCAAATGTGCAATAAAAACTGATGGTTAGATTTGTTATACAAAACATTTTATCTAAGAATTTTATTGTTTAAAGGACCGCCTCCGTGGCCTAGTGGTAGAGCGGTGACATCCATCACAAACACATGCAAAGGCAAGTCAATTATTTCACCCGGGAACACATGGTACAAGTCAAAATAGGTACTTGCATCGGACCAAATGTTTGTCACTAATGGGTCAAATTTAGAAATGTCCGCCACTTATATACTGAAGCTTAGAGGCTGTGGGAATGTCATCCATTCCTTCTACATGTGTCTTGGAAGAGACCCGAGGTGTTCTGTTACCTGATTCAGCGGGAAAGGTTGAGGTGAGGTGAAATGGGTATGACATGGCGTTCAAGATTATTGCACGTATATAGCCACGTGCATTCACACACTCGCGCGCGTGCGTGCGTTGAGTATGTGTGGCTGGCTGTACTCGTCCGGACTGATGCCGATTTACTGTGCTAGCCCACTGAGATACCATGCCGCAGTTTAACATGAATACCCTACTCAGACACGGTACACTGACGTCCTTGCCTTAGCCCCTTAATGCCGAGCGCCAGACAGAATAACAAGTACCATCTTTTAACATCTTTTGGTATGACGTGCTAGGAATTGAATCACAGACCTTCCGCTCCTCGGGCCGACGCTCTATCCGATAAACATCAGTGGAGATCCCACGGGGAAAAAATGTTTCTAAAATTTAGAGTATGTTTCCATATATGGAGAACCAAATAACAGAAGATCCGTCTCAAATAGTGACACTGCATAGTTGTCGTGACCTTGCCTCTATCACACGCATATTTTAGACTTCAACGCGATCCAAATTAAACTGACTTCTCTGTGAAAGTTACAGGTGTATAAAGTCTGCACAAATGTTTACTTTTTATAACGACACTCCTTCGCATCTTCACACTTTAAATGAGAAGTAACGCGCCCGCTTGTCGGTAGTATCAGCCAGACAGCCTTGTGGAACACTAGCTGTACTTCTCCTCCTCCAGGTATAGTTGCTGATGTTTCCATGCCGCTGTGTGGCGAATCTTAACTTTTCTTGTCAATACCTCATCCTGGGCCCACTTGCACAAAGCGATCTTAGCGTTAAGACTATTGTAAGCCTATGCTAAAGTATGGGAGTTACGATCATCTTAGCGCTAAGATCGCTTTGTGCAAGTGGGCCCAGCATGGGTTGCTGGGGACCTATTTTAACCCGGAATGCCCATGAGAAGACCAGTATAGGTTGATGGAGACCTATAACCCGGAATCCCCACAGGGACACACTTGCACAAAGCGATCTTAGCGTTAAGACTATTGTAAGCTAAAGTATGGGAGTTACGATCATCTTAGCGCCAATATTGCTTTGTGCAACACAAACGCTTGCCTGTTACTGTACCTATAGTTAATGACAAACCCCTCCAGCAGGTGATCTTTTGTTTGTTTGTTTGTTTGTTTGTTTCTTGTTTAACGCCGCACTCTGCAATATTCCTTCTATATGACGGCGGTCTGTAAATGATCGAGTCTGGACCAGACAAATAAGTAATTGACATCATGAGCATCGATCCACACAATTGGGATCGATGACATGCATCAACCAAGTCAGCGATCCTGACCACCCGATCCCGTTAGTCGTCTTTTACGGCAAGCATGGGTTGCTGAAGACCTATTCTACCCCGGATCTTCACGGGTCAGTTGGTAACTTAAAGGTAGGATAGTTTTATCTAACGAATATCTAAATATCTCTCTCACATCATCACATGAAGGGCAGAATATACTAGGCGCTATCACACCCCCCAACATCAGGTGCTCTATCAAGACCTGTTACCTTCTGTATCTACTGGGCGCTATCAAACTCCCCAACACCAGGTGCTCTATCAAGACCTGTTACCTTCTGTATCTACTGGGCGCTATCAAACTCCCCAACACCAGGTGCTCTGTCAAGACCTGTTACCTTCTGTATCTACTGGGCGCTACCAAACACCCTTACACCAAGTGCGCTGTCCAGACCTGTTACCTTCTGTATCTACTGGGCGCTATCAAACTCCCCCAACACCAGGGCCCACTTGCACAAAGCGATCTTAGCACTAAGACTATTGTAAGCCTATGTTTAAGTATGGGAGTTACGATCATCTTAGCGCTAAGATCGCTTTGTGCAAGTGGGTCCAGGTGCTCTGTCAAGACCTGTTACCTTCTGTATCTACTGGGCGCTACCAAACACCCTAACACCAAGTGCGCTGTCCAGACCTGTTACCTTCTGTATCTACTGGGCGCTATCAAACTCCCCCAACACCAGGTTCGCTGTCCAGACCTGTTACCTTCTGTATCTACTGGGCGCTATCAAACTCCCCAACACCAGGTGCGCTGTCCAGACCTGTTACCTTCTGTATCTACCAGGCGCTATCAAACTCCCCAACACCAGGTGCGCTGTCCAGACCTGTTACCTTCTGTATCTACTGGGCGCTATCAAACTCCCCAACACCAGGTGCGCTGTCCAGACCTGTTACCTTCTGTATCTCCTGGGCCCCGATTATGTTTCTAGGTTTGTCAGCACCATACCCGTGCTCGTGGGTTTCACCGAAGTGGTAAACGTCTGAGACCTGCATCACTTCGGGCTTTCCACCCACATTAAGCTGACACGCCGTCATATAACTGGAATACTGTTAAAAGCGGCGTTTAACCCAACTCACTCACTCACTCACTGTATCTACTTGGCGCTATCAATCTCCCCCAACACCAGGTGCGCTGTCCAGACCTGTTACTTTCTGTATCTACTGAGCGCTGTCAAACTCCCCAACACCAGGTGCGCTGTCCAGACCTGTTACCTTCTGTATCTACTAGGCGCTATCAACCCCCCCCCCCCCCCCCCCCCCCCCCAACACCAGGTGTACTGGGTGCTATGAATCTGTTCCATTTACTATAAATAATGTTCAAACTAAAACTCCATTTTATTAATTTTCAGAACCATGATAGCTTTCCTTGTTCTAATCGGATCTGTAGCAGTTTATGGGTGAGTGGTATAAGTTATAGAATATCAGATCAGATGCAGTTTATCTGCGTGTGGTATAAGCTATATCTCATATGAGATGCAGTTTATAGATGACTGGTATAAGCTAGCATATCAGATGCCGCTTGTAGGTGCGTGGTATATGCTGGATTATCTGGTCAGATGCAGTTTATGGGTGGTATAAACTGGTATATCAGATCAGGTGCAGTTTATGGGTACATTGTCTGAACTAGTATTTCAGATAAGATGCAGTTTATGGGTAAGTGGTATAAACTAGTATATCAGATCAGGTGCAGTTTATGGGTACATTGTCTGAACTAGTATGTCAGATAAGATGCAGTTTATGGGTAAGTGGTATAAACTAGTATATCAGATCAGGTGCAGTTTATGGGTAAGTGGTATAAATAGAGAATCTCACCCGAGTGTCTTTTGATATCAAATATATCAACACGAGCTGATAAAAGTGGAAAAATTCCGAGGCTTGCCGAGGATATTTGCCACTTTTATCAACGAGTGTTGATATATTTCATATCAAAAGACACTCGGGTGAGATTTTATTTATCATCCAACATCATTCTTTCAACTTTTTCAATTTGTAGACAGTAATTAGCAGTGTCTTCGGTATAAAAAGTACTGCAAACAGCTTCAGTAGCAGAGCCATTAGTGATGTCATTTGATTGTGACGTCATGGTAACCAGCGATGTCACAATGGTCTGCAAAGCATTATGATGTAATTTCATTGCAGCGATATCTAAAGTGTAGATATCGCTTGATCTCATCCAAGAGATATCTCCTGTGGGAGCCAGTTTTAGATGATAAACTAGTATATCAGATCAGGTGCAGTTTATTGGTAAGTGGTATAAACTAGTATATCAGATCAGGTGCAGTTTATGGGTACATTGTCTAAATCATTTATCAGATCAGGTGCAGTTTATGGGTGGATGGTATAAACTAGTATATCAGATCAGATGCAGTTTATCGGTACATTGTCTAAATCATTTATCAGATCAGGTGCAGTTAATGGGTGGATGGTATAAACTAGTATATCAGATCAGATGCCGTTTATGGGTACATTGTCTTAATTATTTATCAGATCAGGTGCAGTTTATGGGTGGATGGTATAAACTAGTATATCAGATCAGATGCAGTTTATGGGTACATTGTCTTAATTATTTATCAGATCAGGTGCAGTTTATGGATGGGTGGTATAAACTAGTATATCAGATCAGGTGCAGTTTATGGGTACATTGTCTTAATTATTTATCAGATCAGGTGCAGTTTATGGGTGGATGGTATAAACTAGTATATCAGATCAGATGCCGTTTATGGGTACATTGTCTTAATTATTTATCAGATCAGGTGCAGTTTATGGGTGGGTGGTATAAACTAGTATATCAGATCAGATGCAGTTGGTTGTCCGCACCATTACCCGTTCGTGGGAAACGTCTTGGGCACGTTTGCATTCACATTTCCTCCAGCCCACTTTAGAACTGGAATAATTTTGAAAGAAGCCCCAACTCATCGGGGGCTTCTCTGCCTGCAGAAAACATGGCCACAACCACTCCTGCATCCACACCAACCATGACCATCTACTGTCGAGCCAGGTGGTCAGCAACGTCATCGCCGACATTGACAAAGATGGCGACGGCATTGTGGAGCCAACCGAGGTCCAGCACTTCGTCGCCGGATATGACCTTGACAGTAGGATAATCATTATGATAAGAATCGGTGCCCTTTAACCTATGCTTGTTGCAAGAGTCGACTGAAGTGTCGGTTGATTTGTTGTTTTACGTCGCACTCAACAATATTCCAGCTATATGACGGCGGTCTGTAAATAATCGAGTCTGGAGCAGACAATCCAGTGATTGATATCATGAGCATCGATCCACAAAATTGGGATGACCTGCATCAACCAAGTCAGCAAGTCGGACAACCCGATCCCGATAGTCGCCTCTTACCGATTGAAGTTGATCGCGTGGTTAAGCTCGATGCCATGGCCAATTTCGCGTCGTTGCTCAAGCTTTCTGTCATTGGTTTGCCTGAATATGAAATCCTTAAAGGGACGTAATCGCCCTTTGGTAATATAAAAAATATAATTCAAAGCGCGACAATGCAACAAATGGCCAAAATGTCGCGTTCTCGCGTTGTCGCATTGTTGCGCTTTGGTTAATTTTAATACTTTTCGATGTTTCCCTGAGGGCGACAATGCGACAATGTCCCTTCTTGGATTCCATACCTGACCCTCGATTATTTTCAGGCCATTTTGATACAGCTGGCATATTGGTAACAAATATAGTTTCCATCAACCATGTCTTACCTAAATCGTCATCAATCAGTCAATTTGACATCCTATTTCCTAGTAGGGGCAGTACCGTAAACCCCCAAATAACGGCAAGGGACCCAAGACTGTATTTTGCCAATGTTGATCGCATCTCAAGAAGGGACTGGCCATTTGATAGTCTGGATATTTAGAGAATAATCAACGAGCTACGAGAAACAGATAATTCTGAGTCTTGAGTAGCTAAAAGAAATATAATTAAGAATAAAGACTGCTCTACCCCATGTGTAGTGTATAAAGTATAGTTTTGCTGCTTGCGTCAATGAGCTTTGGCATCATGATAGTTCAGGGCAAAACAATACTTTATTACACAACACATGGGGGTAGGGCAAACTTTATTACTTTTCAAAGAGGCCGACTTTAAGACTAACCTCATGTTATATTGAAGCTGGGTTTAAAATCAAATCTGTAATGACCAGTTACGTAAACTTAAAATCCTCGAACAGGTCTCATTGTCGGGCTCTTCCACCTAATTGCCTGCACCCTCACGTTAAGAGGCATATTTTACGTTTGAGACATAATAATACACCACTAAAATGGGATGTTTTATTATTTGAATATGTCATATTACATTGTTTGTTTACCCATAATCTTATACAACAATAAGTGGATTTTTTAAATTTAAGTTTTCATATTAATTTGCTTCAATTTAATCACGTGACTCCAACAGCGGCCGTTTTGCTTGACTTTAGTATGTTGCTAAATGCCGTATGCTGACTAACAGGTGGTTATGAAACCTATCAAGGATTGCTCATTCAGCATCTTCCCGAGGCAAGAGAGTTAACTGACTTTAAAAGTCCAGTTAAAACCCTTGCCGAATCAGGCTGGAATTCCTGGGCACGATCGTAGCGTCACCAGTGGCTGTTACGAGTTATGTCCCTTCTATGCCTCTCCTATGGATCAATCAGATTCCACCTCTCGTATCACTTGCGTTTGCTTCAAACAAAATGGCGGCGCCCAGTCAAGAGGATATGATCGACAATCAATATCTATATTGTGATCAAACGAGTCTTACATCGCGAAGTACATCGAATCACGTGAGGACCTTGATTGAAAACTTGAAAAGATTTGGAAAATATCTGTTTGACAACGAGTTGGCGGTGCACATGCTGTGCAAATCCTGCAATCGACCAAAATCTGCATGACAGTTTACGAACCGGTTTTGGATTTCGGTGCGCGATTTTGATTGGACTATGCATAGGCACGTTAGTCCAGCCAAAATATAACTCTAAACCTGCAGCCCAGTTCGGCAAGGGTGGAAACTGGACTTTTATAGTCAGTTAACTCTCTTGCCTCGTGAAGATGCTCTTTCCCTTACCCAGAGACAGACATAATTCCTAGAGCACCAACGCCCGCCTCGGACAGTTTCAGACTGCTTTGGCACGGGCACGGGTGTATGTATGTTTGGGAGATGCCTGCGGCATGATATATGACTGACATCATCTTGACATATTTCTTCCCACGTAATATTATTCAAATATACTGAACCAAATTACAAACTTCACAATCCTAAGGGGCGGTCGTGTAGCCTGTTGGTTAAAGCGTTCGCTCGTCACGCTGAAGACCCGGGTTCGATTCCCGACATGGGTGCAATGTGTGAAGCCCATTTCTGGTGTCCCCCGCCGTGATATTGCTGGAATATTGCTGAAAGCGGCGTAAAATCAAACTCACTCACTCACTCACAATCCTAAAATTTTAACATTTTGACCAGTTATCATTGTTGGCCCTTATTGTGTATTTAAACAGTAATGGCCACGTATTGTCTTCAGATAACACAGGTGCAGGTGAATCGATCAAAATCATCATGGCAAAAGTGTTTTTTCACGTGCAACTGGTCACGTGGCCATAATACCGCACGTGTTTTCAGCCATACTTGTTAGCAGTCATTAACAAAAAAAGAAAAACACAAGAAAACAAAAGTCTTTACGGTCATTTGTCATGCCACGCCTTTCAAATGTGCAACGTGAACGTGCCATTGGCATGTTGCAGACGGGAACGTCCGTAGCTGAAGTCTCAAGGACGATGGGTAATAAATTAACCGTTGTAGTCGACGGACTGTTCATGATTTACAGACGCGTCTACAGCAAACGGGTACCACCGCTGATCGCCCTCGGCCAGGTTGACCACGTGTGACGTCACATGCAGAGGATCGTCAGATTGTCTTACGTCACCTCCGTAACCGATTTTTGACGGCTACATCAACCAGAAATGAACTGTTTAGGGGTTTAGCGCAAACTGTTCGAAACCGTCTGAGAACTGCTCACCTTCAAGCACTACGGCCATACTGCATTACACAGACGTCAACCTCAGTTGTGGGCACAGCGGCACTTACGATGGACTCAGAGGAATTGGAATCAAGTCGTTTTCAGTGATGAATCCCGATTTAATCTTCGATTTGCTGATGGTAGGTCGAGGGTGTGGAGGCGCCGTCATGAACGTTACGCCCAGTGTTGTGTACAGGAAGTTGACAGATTTCGAGGCGGAAGTGTCATGGTGTGGGGTGCTTTCTGTGGCAATGCACGTTCCAGGCTTCTTGTCATCCGTGGAAACCTCAACGCTGCTGCTTACCGCGACAAGGTACTGGCACCCGAACTTCTGCCTTTTATGGCAGCACATGGACCAGGTTTGATCTTCCAACATGACAATGCCAGACCCCACACAGCAATTTTGACAAGGAATTTCCTTACGAATAGGAGAGTCAAGGTCTCCCGACCTCAATCCCATCGAACACGTCTGGGATGCTCTTGGCAGAAGTCTGCGCACTCTCCAGAACCAACCACAGAATTTGCAAGATCTTGGCACCATTTTGCAGCAACAATGGCGTCGTCTTCGTGTTCACAAACATCACAAGGTCCATGCGGAGGCGTTGTGTGGCAGTTGTCAACGCACATGGTGTCCATACACGCTACTGAACTTGTGTGCCATCATCAGATTCTCGTGCTTGGGACTTATGATTTAAACTGTTGATGTTATTACCGAATACCGTAGGTGCTTGGAACAAACTATAGTTACCGCCGTTAATTAAAATCCTTCTTTGGACATAAATGATTAAAAATTACCTTCTCTGATACATTTGTCCGTTCTATATCATATATGGGATTAGTTTTAAAATGTAAAGTTTATAATTTGACTCAGTATATTTTGCAAGTTTAAAGAAACTCCTTAACCGAAAATTGACGTGGATGCGCCATCTTGCATGACAATAATGAAAGAACGGTGTTACCAAGGATGGAACTTGAACAGCGCCATGACGTCAGTCCATTATGACGTAATTCAAAAAGTGTACTTTGTCGCAGGTACACTTCACTGAAGGATGCCTATTGTTCAGATGACGTGATGTAATCAATGTGTGTCGCGATGAACAATGGATGACGTTATATCGGCTTTTACTCAACAGTAAAGCGTTGTGACGTATTATGGCTTCAAATGAACACCCAACATTGAGAATCGCTGAATGCACATGTGCAATTATCGGAAGGCGTTTACACACGATCCTTCGACCCGTATGTGTAATATAATATAATTTTACACAAAACAAACCTGTTTGCTGGAAATGCTTGATAGTATGTTGTAAAAGGACATTGTGTGCCTTGAAGCAGTATTCTGTGTCTGACAAGAATTCAAGTGTATGATATTTGTACATGCATAATGATAAATACCCTGGCCCCATTCGACACCGTAGCTTCCTTAGTCACCAACTCTCTCTCTCTCTCTCTCTCTCTCTCTCTCTCTCTCTCTCTCTCTCTCTCTCTCTCTCTCGCTCTCTCTCTCTCTTACACTAACTCTCTCTCTCTCTCTCTCTCTTTCACTCTCTCTCTCTCTCTCTCTCTCTCGCTCTCTCTCTCTCTTACACTAACTTAGCACAGAACGCATCATGAGTGAAAAATATTGGTGCAGAAAATATTTGAAAGATAATTATGCCTTAGGTTTAACGAAAACATTATGTTGTTTCAGAAAACGGCAATATCACAGAGAGTGAGTTTACACTACAATGGCATCGGCACTACCTCGACGTTCGCGACTTTGTCGGCTACCTCTTCCAAAATTTCGACATGAACAACGACATGCGTCTGACCGACAGTGACCTCGTCGCTTGGTCAAAAAATCTCGACACTGACGGTGGGTGTGCATTCATGTCTCTTTTATGTTACAGGAAGGGGGGGGGGGGAGGGGACAATACCTCTCTGCGTGTAGATCTGCGAACACACCCATAACAGGTCACATTACATGAATCTTGAGGTACTTAACGCCCAATCAAAGTGAAGGATTTGTAGGTTCTTGATCCAATCAGATTCCACCTTTCCAAAGCAGTTCGGCTTCGTGTCTTTACCCCCTAATTCGGAAATTTCGGTTTCTTCAAATGAAAACACAGGACACAAATAGTCCTTCATTGTTTCTCACTTTGTCGCCAGTTTCAGAAAATGTGAAAACTTTGGCCTTGACAGTCTCTAAAACAGATGGAATGGCTGAACATATTAGTTGTCTCCCCTCTCTGTAACCCTTGACAACGGTTTATGTATTGCAGGAAATGGGGAAATCTCGATCGCAGAGTTCAGGACCTACATGATGAACGTAAGTCATGTAACAATACATTTTTGAGTGATACCCTGATACCTATCTGCCAACAATTTTACCTTCTTCTGAAGAGTTAGGCACCGTCAGTATGACCCATGCTAAAACAAAATGGCAGCCGAGATGGGCATCTTCCTTAAAAGGACGTATTCTGTTTGGCATCGATCCTTTTGTCACTAAATTACACATAACTAGAAATAATCAGAGAGAGGATGTTCTCTTAACCAGACTTCGTCTTGGGCATTGTGGTCTTGGAGCTTATCTAAATGCTATTGATAAAGACATTTCTGCACATTGTACAGTGTGTAATCAGCTTGATAATGTAGCTCATTTTGTATTGCCAACAGTATGTTAATCAGCGTAAGGCAATGGTGGAGTCTCTAACAGTATTCAATATTGACTTCTCATTGTCTGGTATTTTATGTTCTAGGAATATTGTTCACCAATTCAGAATGTCATTCTCGCTTACATTAAAGCGTGTGGCAGTATTGATACTTTATAAAAGATCTAGGTACTTAGCAAACCTTTATTATGGGCAAGGTGTAAATGGGCCTAGATGCCCGAACACCTATAAAACATTTTAATGATCAATCATCACCTGTCTGCCAAGTTTATTTGAAGCAGATAAGTCAACTCTGAGTGTAACTAGGTTTAATGTAATAACAAATCCAAAATAAATATCAAAAGGCAATCATAAACATCGACAATTAAAACCTAACGTCGAAAATGACCTGAAAATAGAAATTCCATAATGGTGTGCAACAATCTGATAAATTACAACCAAGGAGGCCACACCTCAACCAACAGGTAGTCATTTTGGTAACTTTGGTAACCAAAACGTCATTTACTTACGAATGGCAACTGAAATTCCGTCACCAAGTTGGTTGGTTGGTTTGTTGTTTAACGCCGCACTCAGCAAAAATAAATAAATTGAACGACAATATATGGTCATGCATTACTTTTCATTCTGCTTTCTGTCCCGCTGGCATGTTTGTTTGTTGTTTAACGCCGCTCTCAGCAATATTCCAGCTATATGACGGTGGTCTGTAAATGACCGAATCTGGACCAGACAATCCAGTGATTAATATCATGAGCATCGATGCACGATCGATGACATGTAGCAGCCACGTCAGCGAGCCTGACCACCCGATCCCGTTAGTCGCCTTTCACGACAAGCATAATCGCTTTTTACGGCAAGCATGGGTTGCTGAAGACCTATTCTACCCCGGATCTTCAAGGGTCAAGGATATATCTCGTATACATCTCTGACAAAATGGCGAAGGTGTCCGGTAAAAGGATTCTTTTCAGCACATTGGATCCAGATACATCGTTCATGATTACTTCACAACAGATTGAATAACAAAGTACAACGATTTTCATTTAGGAATATGTTTTATTAAAACGTATTTAAGAAACATACGACGAGTGGGGGTTGGTTATCGTACAATAAAACACTGCAGGGGGAATAAACCATGACGGGCGCATCCTCTAGTATCATAGTGTCTCAACCCTCACCCCCCCCCCCCCCCCCCCCCCCCCCCCCCCTCCCGCTTCCCGCACACACACACTACCCCCCACAAACCCCACCCCCTTCCCAAATGTAACATTTGTTTATGACCCCGTCCTTTAATTAATGACCAGTACCCACAAAATGTTCAAATTTCTACCACATTATTTGAAAAAAACTATTATTTTTTCATGCCGACCCCCCACTTTCTCCGTGTAACTTTTCCATGAACCCAAGTAACCCCCTCCCCCTCTCTTCCCCCACCCATATGTCTGGGAGAGGCGTGAACCACTCACTATGTCACTATGAGACGTGTTAACACTTCGTATGTTTCAGCTCTACACCAACTGTGTTACAGCTCACGCCAACTGATGTCCACTGTGAAATAAAACATCGTGATCGACATTCCAAATGTGTTTTGTTTGTCAGAGTGGGTAGGAGGGGTCCCACTGTGTTGGTCGACTATGAAGATGAGCTGATGACGTGCGAAGGTCCGGTGTTGTGAGGGCCCTATATTTGGACCACTGGATCTGCGTAGATAGGACATGAGAAAACATTTACATACTACAATGAAAGCCACCAATTGTGGGTTTTTTTATTAATCAGAATTACAATACTTCCATGTTTTGGATTTATGACAACACACTCTACAAAGTGTGAAGGTTTTCAGGATGCGTATCAATAACAAACACACCCACACACTTACTAACACTAACACACACAGACTCACTCACTCACACACACACACTAACACACAGACATACTAAATTACGCTTGCACTCACACGCCGTACACACACACACCAACACACAAACACACTCCCACTCAGACACACTCACACACACGTCACATACACACACTCACACATACACGCGTGCGCACGCACGCACGCACACATACACACTCACACACACTCACACATACACGCGTGCGCACGCACGCACATACACACACTCACTCACACGCACACACACATACACACATACATTCACACATACTCACACACTCATACACACTATCACATACACACACACTCACATTAACTAACAAACACACATACACACACTCACACATACATGCGTGCGAACGCACGCACACACACACACACACACTCACACATACACGCGTGCGCACGCACGCACACACACACTCACACACACACCCTCACACACACACACACTCACAACTCATGGTTTCTACATAGAACGCTCCAGGTGGGGATGCGATAGTTCGACCCGGCAGTACAGACTGCGATCACGTTCTAAGTGAAGCTTTTATGACCCATTACACAGTTATCATGGTCACGGCCTATTGCTTATAAATGACATTGGTTGAAGTAACTAGTAACACACAGAGATAGTCCATGTGAGATAGTGACACTCCGTTAATTCCTGTTGCCTGGTCCAGGATCAAGTTTTGACCAAAGACTTCATGATGATTAGTTTCTGGTAACATGGGAATAGCCAGAGACGTACACACAGCTGAGATTTGTTTATAACACTGATGACAGTGCAGGGTCCGTAAATATTGATTATATATCATTTTGACGAATATTTAACATTAATATGCTGAACCGGAAAAGAAACGTCACCCCAAGTAACATTGCATGAAAAGTTGTCGTTTAAATATCTGGGTAATTTTTTATTTTTAAAAATTTAACATTACGTTGTCCGGAAAAATGAAATTGATGATAAAAATACAAAGCAGATGACAATAAAACCGATCGCCCAAACGCATCACGGCAACGGTCATGGTAACGTGAGTTCCGTGCAAATTGAAATGCACATGCGTTCCCCCATTTCTTGCCCAATAAAAATCCAGCCAGATCGGATAACATTGGTTCGTTATTGAATTGCTACCACATGCCAAGATTGACAAGAGAATCAGCGACACCAAGACCTTGGTAGCCAATACATTTCAAGTCCACGTAAGGACCATATACAGGCTCCAGCAACGGTACCAGACCACCAACACAACAGATGACCGACCACGTAGTGGAAGACCAAGAGTCACCGCCCGACGTCAGGATCGTCAGATTGTACGACAGCATCTTCAAGATCGCTTTGTTACTGCTGCGGAAACTGCTCGACAGACCATGGGGACACACCAGCGACACATTATTGCGGACACCGTGCGTCGACGATTGACGAGAAGACACCTCCACTGTCACAGGTCACACCGAGGACCCATTCTGACACCACGTCATCGCCGGGACCGTCTTCAGTGGGCAACACAGCACCAGCATTGGCGCCACCAGCAATGGAGAAGAGTCCTCTTCTCAGACGACAGTCGTTACTGTATCTCAACAGCAGATGGCAGAGAGGGAGTCTGGCGACGCTGTGTTGTTGAGAGAGGCTCGTGGGGTGGTCAGAGCATCATGGTGTGGAGTGGAATTGGTCTTGCACAGAAGGTCGGCCCTGTGGTCTTCCAGAACAACGGTCCAGGGAGAGGCAATGGTGTCACAGCAGCTCGGTACATTGATCAAGTCTTGAGACCACACGCCATACCTCATTTCGCACGTCGCCGCAACCACGAGTTTCAGCATAACAACGCCCGTGCCCACACTGCGAGAGTAGCAAGAGACTTTCTCCAGCAGAATGGCATCAAAACCATGCAGTGGTCTGCCATCAGTCCCGACTTAAATCCAATTGAGCACCTGTGGGACGAGCTTCAAAGACGGCTGAATGACGTCCGACCAAGGCCGACAACTGCAGCTGAACTGCGTCAGGCGTTCCTCAGAGTGTGGGCTCAAGTGCCTATGGCCTTCATCAACCGCCTCAACCATTCCATGTATCGACGTTGCACGGCAGTCATCAATACACATGGCGGACACACGAGATACTGACTTGTGAGGCCATCTTCTCAGAGACTAGAAGTTGTGTTTCACTTTAAGAACATTTGAGACATTAATTTCAACCTTGATGATCAGTTTTGCCAAGTTTCATCTTTTAAATATGTCTCAAAGTATGTTTACAGTGTTTGGACAAATGAGGTTTCTCATATATCTATCCATGGTGACGTTTCCTTTGCGGTTCAGTATATTTGTCGAGTACACATTCTTCCGTGGGTACAACGATAAGTTCTATTATGTTTAACTTAAAGCTACTTAAAGCGTGTATTATATCTCCATCTAGTTGGATATATCCTACAATGACACTAAAAATATCTCTCCAATCAAATTACTCTCATAAGAGAGAAAAATGATGTGCCGATTTGTGATACGAGAGATTGATATGGTGACGTCACTTCCGAAACGAAACGTTGATGGTTAATGGGTCCAGGGTATATATCACAAAGGATGGATATATAGTACCCTGGATAATTGAGGATGACCTGCATCCACAACACAACCTCATCATGACACCAACTACATCTGCAGCCAACACTACACAGACTGGACACGTCTTAGAGATATAACGAGCGCTTCTAGCAATGTTGATTTAGTTCTCTTTGTTTTAGTTTGTTTGCCTGTTTAGCGCCGCACTCGTCAATACTCTAAGTCTATGATGGGGGTCTGTAATGGTCGAATCTGGACCAGACAAGCCGGTGATTGACATCATGAGCATCGGTATTTGATATTATGATCAACGTCCTCGTAGACAGGATACGATGACATGGTATCAACCAAATCACCGAGCCTGACCTCCCGATCCATTTTGTCGCCTCTCCAATGTTGCGTGGGACGAAATCCGAACGGGACGATAACTAGGCCTATAATACTCAGGTCTTATAGTGATGCAGTAGGAATACATTAGAACACGGATATTGCGAACAAACGGATATAGCGAACAAACGGATACAACAAACTGTTACAAAATCCCCGATTTATCTCCTATATAATATCATATAAAATTTACGTATATAACGAACTTTCTACAGCGAACTAACGGATACAGCGAACTGATATCTGATGACCGAAAAGCCCATCTATCACTAATTAGTGACGTGTATAGCGAACTGAGAAATCTCACTCAGTGTATCAGGGGGCACGGGTGGCCCAGTCGTCTAAGGCGCTGCGATTCGCTGTGCAGAGTTGCGTCCCTTGGGCAAGCCAGAAACCTATGATTGTGAGTTCGAATCCCGGTTCGCCCCGAGGTTTGTCAGCACCATACCTGTGCTCGTCGGTTTCACCGAAGGGGTAAACGTCTGAGACCTGCATCACTTCGGGCTTTCCTCCCACCTTAAGCTGACACGCCGCGATATAACTGGAATACTGTTAAAAGCGGCATTAAACCCAACTCACTCACTCACTCAATGTATCGGAATAACGATGTGTACATGCGACACGTCTTGTATATACAGAAGCTTCACATCATCCTCCAAAATCACGTTGCGTGTCCCACACTACAAAGATGGTGTTTCAACATTTGCTTTTATCTAAACATGTAGTCCATGACCTCTGCTCGCGACAGTGTGTGAGGCAATCAAACAGCTGTGAACTAGAGTAGGCTGCGCAGCATTCCTTTCCAACACATTTCATAAGAGATAATACTTCCAGTGTAATCTAATGTAATATTTTCACGTCGAAGTACATGCCTGGCAGTCGTGACCACCTCCAGCACCACGTGTACTGTCAACATTTGCTAGTTCTTGTATATACCCATCCCTCGTCACCACCTCCAGCACCACGTGTACTGTCAGCACTTGCTAGTTCTTGTACATACCCAGACCTCGTCACCTCCTTGTATATACCAAGAACTCGTCACCTCCTCTAACACCACCTGTACTGTCAACACTTGCTAGTTCTTGTATATACCCAGACCTCGTCACCTCCTTGTATATACCAAGAACCCGTCATCTCCTCTAACACCACCTGTACTGACCACACTTGCTAGTTGTTGTATATACCCAGACCTCGTCACCTCCTTGTATATACCAAGAACTCGTCACCTCCTCTAACACCACCTGTACTGTCAACACTTGCTAGTTCTTGTATATACACAGCCCTCGTCACCTCCACTTATACCACGTGTACTATCAACACTTGCTAGTTCTTGTATGTACCCAGCTCTCGTCACCTCCTCTCATACCACGTGTTATGTCCACACTTGCTAGTTCTTGTATATACCCAGCCCTCGTCACCATCTCCAACACCACGTTAGCTGTCAACACTTGCTAGTTCTTGTATATACCAAGAACTCGTCACCTCCTCTAATACCAAGTGTACTGTCAACACTTGCTAGTTCTTGTATATACCCAGACCTCGTCATCCCTTCTAACAACCTGTCCTGTTAACACTTGCTAGTTCGTGTATATACCCAGCCCTCGTCACCTCCTCTAACACCACCTGTACTGTGAACAATTGCTTGTTCTTGTTTATACCCAGCCCTCGTCACCACCTCTAACACCACGTGTACTGTCAACACTTGCTAGTTTTTGTATATACCTAGGCCTCGTCACCTTCTCTA